CCCCCCCCTCCTCGTACTAAAAAAATTTACCGTTTTTTTTTTTTTTTTTGCAATTTCAAATTTCTATTTTTCGTTTTCTGCACCACCCATCCCCACTCTCCCCCTACCCCCACCCCCACCCCCCCGGGACAAAAAAAATTTACTTTTTTTTTGTAATTTCAAATTTCTACTTTTTTCATTTTCTGCCCTCCCTCCCTCCGAAAAAAATATATTTTTTAGTTTTAGTTTTTTTTATCGGTTTAAAGGTTCAAAATTTGACAAGTATCATAGTTATGAGTTCGAAGGTTTATGTGTTTGGAAGTTTATAGTTTAGAAATTATTAAGTTTACGGGTTCAAAATTCCGCGATTTCGAAAGTTTAGCGGTTCGAAAGTTTATGAAATTTATGGATTCGGAAGATTGGTTTGAAAGTTTATGGCTTCATGTTTATTATATCTAAATTATTTATGAATACTCTTGAGAAGTCATTTTCCTTAACTTGCGTACCAAACACCGGAAAATGAATAAGATTACTACTTGTTTTCCAAGAAAATATTTTCCCGTTATACCAAACACACCCTAAAGGTTCTCTATGATGTTGAACCAGCAACTTTAACGGCTGGCAGTTTCACACAGTTGTGCACATTGAACTGAAAATGCCATATGTTTCTTCATAAACTGTTAGAGAAAACGAGGGCCATGCTCCAGAAACTATCCATAGTGTCGGTCGAGTACAGCAATAGAGGAGCATCACTTGACTGTTTCTATTTGTTTGATCAAATGGATTGATAGCAGACTGAAACGAGCACGATATGGCATCATCTGTCAACGACAATCCTTTATGAATCAGTCACTTTCAAGAGATGCAGACTACTGGTTCGATACTCAGACGCTGTCAGCTTCACATATACCTGAAATTACTCCGTTTAAAGTGCTTCTCGCTGTTTATCGCTGAAGCACAGAGGGAAATTTCTATATTTTGCATTGCCAAGTTGATGTATTTAACTGCAAAATGGGGCAATTTCATTCAAATGTTAGGCAGAACAGCATATAGCAACTCACTTTATCTCAAACTCTGATGTTAGATTCTTTTTATTCAGTACAGCAAAATATAAATTTTGTTAGATTTACTTTTACATTATAGTAAAGATAGTTCACATATATTTCTAAGATTTTGTAGGCAACATATCCATTTTGGTTTCTCAGTAATGGAATAGGGGAAAAGAGAAACCAGCACTAGAAAAGAGAAATTGTTACATTGAGACGGGTAAAATTCAGTCACATATTACTTATTGGGTTATGTAAATTCAAACCTTTGCTCATAAGGAATTTGGGTATTAATTGCGGATAAACTAGAGAGGAATTTAGGGTATTCAATTTTAGCATAGGAGTATATGAGATTCGTTGTTCCGCTTATAAGTAAACAACCTCTTTCTATGCTATAGTACAATTCTAAAATAGCAAATTAACAAAAAAATTATAACTGAGAAATCCACTAGGGTCGTTAGCATACAGTTTGAAACTCGGTAGATAATGAGTCCGCCTCTCTATTCTTCCCCAATTAAATACCAGGATTTTGTAGGGTTCGAACCCGACATGAAGTATGTCTAACCCACACATCACACATTGTGCTCTTACCACTAGATCAAAGCCCTGCAAGCTAGACCAAGAAAAATACTATTCCCTCCTACTTTATATGACACTACTACTATTCGGAGAGTGCAACAACTTCTATTTTAACAAAAAAAAAATCATATGTTTTTATGGATATTTGATTATTTTCAATGTTAAAAAACTGTAACTTACAATACTTTTTATCTAGTTTATAATTATGTAAATTTTATTTTCAAGAATGGCATCACAAACCTTTCTCGTTTCTTTTCTTCTTTTTATTTTTTCTTTTGCTTTTCAGTTCTTTTTGGCCAGTAAATGACCGAAAAATCATATTAAAATGAAGATACCTGGTAAAAGAACTTATCCAAAAGAGTAAAAGAAAAGAAATACCTGGTAATAGGATGTCCTTTCATAGTTATGTACATGTTCATTATTCATCATACATCCGCAAAAGCTTTTGAAGGTTGCCCTCCTCTTATGATTTACCAACGATCCTAAATCAGCATGAAATTGGAGTGACGAAAAACCTCTCTTCAATTTCAGAATTGACGGTTTTCTGAAAGAAGGAAAAAGCATCGATAAACATTCTTCAAAGAAGTACTATAAGTTTTAACTTGTAACAGAACGGGAGAGGAAGAGATGATAGGAATTACGTTTTTTCATAACCACTCTATAAGAACAATCGAAGAGAAGAATGAGACAGGTCAGAGAAAAGAGAGAGGAGAGATAGATAGAATAGAAGAAGTTACATCAACTACAGCTACACCTCAATCCTAAGCTAGCCGGGGTCAGCTAATTTCAGGAAAAAAAAAATTGGTGGAAAATTTTTTGGAGGAAAAGTTTGTACAGAAGAAAAGATGCATGGATAGTTGTAGTTCTTTCTGAAATTGTAAGTGTTTTTTAAGTGAAAAATCATTTGTTGGTTTTTATAAAAAAACTTTCCCTCAATGTGCAGGGGAAATCACCATAAATGTTTATGTCTGTTCACAAATGATGGATCCTCGATAGTTTCAACAAAATTATATACCTCTATTGCAGTATTCAATCAATCAAAAATGTTTTCTCCTTTCTTTTGTAAGTGTTATAGTTTCATTGAAACTGCTAACAGCACTAAGGCTGTGCTGAAAAAGCTTTACAAGGAGTGCACGGCGATTAGGTCAATGATATCATCTGTATCATTTAAAAAAGAAGTTTGCACCAAAAAGCTAGCAAAGCAAGAGGAGAAATAGGCATCGCCCAAAAATTGAGGAATCCTGCCCATATTTGAGAGGTGATGTTACAGTGTAAGAACAGATGGTCGGAATCTTGTTTATCAAATCATGTTCAGTGTTTTAAATCAGCTACGCACAACTGGCACATGCCATAATCAGTATTAGACCTTAAAGACTCAGAGAAGATAGGGGAACCTATGGAAGAAACGGGAGTTCTACATTGAAGCAGAGATCGGGACTTCCGTCCTCCAGCTTCCTCTTTTTCTAAAACTATGTAGTTGCAGCAAGCTTCTCTTGGAAAGAAAAAGGGGAAAGAAAACTAAATACCACTTACTCGTTTATTTCTATAAAAAGAACTAAATTTTACCAAATAGCTGAAGTATAAGTACCCTGAAGCAACCAGCTCAAACTCACGAGCAAATTGATCCATTGTAATGGTATATTCTCTGGCGAGGCACATGAGAACACTGGATTATTCTCCTGCATTTCAAAATTAGAAGCCAGTCATTACTGTATTGGACATGAGAAGACTGCTGGGCTTCAGAATCCCAGACAATGTCTTCAAATCTATGAAGTTCAGTAAAGAAAAGGAGAAAAGAATGCTGAAATTGAATGGAAAAAAGTGTAAGAAACTTTCTTATTTGGGAGGAACTTTGTCAACGAACAAGAAAACAACAACAACAACAATAACAACATACCCGGTGCAATCCCACAAGTGGAGTCTGGGAAGGGTAGTGAGCACGCAACCTTACTCCTACCTTGTGAATATAGAGAGGTTGTTTCCGATAGACCGACAAAAAAGAAAAGAGACAATCATTTCTGAATGGAAGATAAAACAGCTCCATCTTAGACATCCTAATATCCAACAAAAACCCATAGCCATTAGATGTCCATCTAATACCCATATTACGATAGTAACACGTTGACTAGCTGCCTTGCAGGAAAAGGCTATGGTAAGTCTCAACTTGAAAGTTCAATTATATCAGCACACATGATAATTTGGTGAAATTATATCAGAGGGTCAACTTTTTTGTGGCATTCCCTAAGATTATTAATTGTCTGATTATTTGTTATTGCCAGTGTCAGTGTGATATTTAAACGAGTGTATAATGTACACATGTCAAAGGTACACCGAGAGAGATATATTCTTTCCATTTCTCCGTTATCAAGTAATACAAGAGTTTTAACTGGCACCACAACAATCTAGTGGGACACAACACTCAGTCCCAAGTATAGAGACAAGTGAAGATAAACAATTAATCAACTATATCATACTGCAACCTTTCTATACTTATTAACTGCAGTGGTTGTCGAGAGATGATAATGGAGAAACTGCTGCATACCCTTAACCCCCAAATACACCAAGAAATCTGAACGCAAGAAAAATAGAAATTTCTAAGAAACATCTCACTTCCTTCAAACACGGCAACTTAATGTCTGAGCTTGAAAAAGTAAAAGAAATACAAACGCAAACATATAAATGAATATGTCTGCCAGAAGGGGTTTCTATATAAGCGGGACAACAACAACAACATACCCAGTGTAATCCCACCTTGTGGGCTCTGGGGAGGATAGTGTATGCAAACCTTACCCCTACCTTGTGCAGGCAGAGAGGTTGTTTCCAATAGAAAACAATTTAGAACAAGAGATGCAGGAATCAAGAAGGGAAATATGCAGGAAAAAAAAATCAACAATAGCAATACACTGAAGCAGAAGTAACATAAAATGGAAGGGGGGTCATAAAAAAATGGAAGACAAAACTTACCAAACAAATTAGGTTGCCAGTGTACTTCCAAACATCTTTCAATCCCCATTGCACTCTCTGGAACGAGTAGGAACTTATTTCTTGATAAATTACAACTTATCTTCGTTTTAGAGGCTCATAATCCATTGAACTAATAGCTCATCACTTCTGCTTCACCAAAAAGAGAATGGAGCTTTGTGGATTATACAAGTTGCTGCAAAATCAGCTAAACAAGTGAGCAGAAATTAACGTTTCTGTACGTTTAACTACAAGCTATTATTGACTGCATCACATTCAAAGCGTCTGATGAGAAAGGAGGTATCTTTTTCTTAGCCAGGATGATTAAAAATCGAGCCTTTCCCATCTTTTCCTCCGTTCCATCTTTGCACAGCCCTTCAAGTAACTTTTTAATACTATCAAGACTTGGAAACCAATTCTTTTGCATGCTATCTCTACACATTGAATATGCCAAATCAAACTCACCCGCTCTAGACAGGTAATGAATCATGGTCTGATAGATTTTAGCATTTGGCTTGAAGCCAGTACCACATAAAGCAGAATAGATTCTTTTTGCCATATCAAGATTCTCTGCTCGGCAAAAGCCTTTGATCACTAAATTGTACGTAACCTCATCAGGAGTTATCCCAATACGTTTCATCAACAGCAACAATTTATTAGCTTCCCAAGCAAGCCCGACATTTACTAAGAATTGAATTCTAACGTTAAAGGTAGCAACATTAGGCATACATCCCTTACCGACCATGAGGTTCCACAATCCATCACCAATCTGCCATCTGTTGACTTTATAGAAGGCAGATATAAGTGTCGTATATGTAAAAACATCAGGCGTTATACCTAACTTTTCCATCTCAACCATGACCAAATAAGCCTTCTCCAAGATACCCATTTCACAAAATGAGCTAATGACTGTATTTACTGAAAGTATATCTATATTGATGGAGAACTTCTCAGGAACATCCCACAGGAACGACTCAATCGCCTTCAAATCACGAGATTGAGTCAAAACCTTGAGTGCAGCGTTGAATGACTTAACAGTCCGCGGACAACCATATAAATGCATATCATAGAAGGTATTTACAGCATGCTGCGTCATCCCAGCCTTCCCGTAGAGCATTATAAGCCGAATAATGAAACCTTCACGCCGACCTTGCGGCAGAGTCTTCTGATGCTCAAGCAGATTTTCAATATAATCAAACCTGCCCGCACCTGCTAAGCGAGAAACCGTGTCTTCAAACACAAAGCGGTTCTCGACAACAACCTTATTATGAGCATTCTCCTTAAATAACTGAAACAACTTCCCAGGGTTCCTTTCCTTTTTTAGCTTAATAAGTGCAGGTTCATCTACTTTTAAAGGCTTTCTCTTAGATACTAAACCTTTACTGGAATTCTTACCAGCAGCACCTGAGGAAGCAATAGCCGTGGCAGCAGCAATGTGACTCGCAGTTCCAAATCTGCGAATCAGGCGCAGAGCGAGCATGTTCTGAAGCTCTCTCCCTCAGTTTCAAACATATACACCAACCAAGAACTAATATTTCATTCAATATTAGCAAAATCTTGAGTATCCTCTAATATTCAGTTCAATACACAAGCAATATCTCAAAATACCACTAATCTTCACTTCAATAGAAATGCAAAATCTTGAATACCAATTAATTTTCAGTTCAACACATAAGCAATATCTCGAAATACCACTAATCTTCACTTCAATATATTAACGATATCTCACAGTACCACTAGTCTTCAGTTCAATACACAAGCAATATCTCAAAATACCACTAATCTTCACTTCAATATATAAGCAATATCTCAAATACCACTAATCTTCAATTCAATATAAGCAATATCTCAAATTACCACTAACCTTCAGTTCAATATATTAGCAAAATGTTGAGTACCCGTTTCAAGAATGAAGAACCCCAACATCATTAACCATCAAAATCATCAGAAACCATGTTCCATTTTCATCAAACAACTAAGCCAAGAAAAACAAATTATGGATTCAATCTAATACAATGAGAAACCTCAAAACCCAAAAAAAGAACTAATTAAAACCCTGATGGTTCTTTGTTCTTAGCAACACATTATATTGTGATTTCATGGGTCTGAATCATATGAAAAAATTATAAAGCTGGCATTTTTATGTATCAGAGAATTACCAGAGATTAACAAGAATTACCAGGATATAAAGGGCCTTATATTGCAAGAAATTATGATTCAGCAAAAGGGTTTTTCCAATGATACTTGTAGAAATTGTTGCAATGTGTATAAACCAGCCAGCGAAACTAGGAAGCTGGTGGTAGAGGTGATGGGAGCGTAGGTTTTTGGGGTTTTGGCTTCTAAAACTAGGGCCCAGTTGATTTGTTGCTTCAGGAACGAATAATGCATCTTAGTCCCTAAAGTATTTTGTTTGATCAATTAGGTCCTTGTTTTAAGAGTGGAACTTTCTTTTTTCTTATATTTCTAATGGAAGTGGGAGTCCTACCATTCTCCTATATCAATTTGGAAAGTATTTAACAAAAAAACTAAGTTAGGTTCGTTTGCTAAATTTATTATATTAAAATAATGAGGGAACTAGATTAATTATTTCTTCTAATAATGATGGCTTGTTCTTTCTAATATTCTTATTAATAATTCTTACATCATATTTAAGTAATTGACATATTATTTCACATGTGAAATGATAATATACGAATTAGTAATGCATGTAACAAATCATATAAATTACGAAATATGCACTTCCAATGATAACTTGTTTAGGCAATTAATTTTTACTAAATCTATCATTTGTTCATAATAATATTTAATTTTAGAATTATACGAAATTGTTTAAATTTTAAAATAGTATTTTGCATGTTTGAGGAAGTAACACAAACATATTTATTTATTCCATGTTTAATATTTCATAAAAACTACTTTTATATACATACCACGTTAGAGAATAAACTCTCTCTCTCTCACCATGCTCCCGGCGCACGGTAGTTAACCTACGCCACTGTAAATACCATGGGGCCTGGACGAGGCAGAGGAAGGGGAAGGGGGCGACCAAAATCAGTACCAATTGTTTCGTTTGGAGTGCAATTGGTGCAAGGATGCGCCGGAGACATCCAAAGCAACGCTTAAAGTACGAAGGAGAACAATCCTGACCATGCAAGCATTAGACGAGTTTCGATAGACCTGCTAGCTAGTGAAATCAGCACATAATTAGACATAAAGGAAAATCCAGCAACAACGCCAAAGGGATTGGGCTTGAGTACTGTAACCCGAATGGAGAAATCCAATGGAACAGTAACCCCAGGGGGAGTGAGTTCACCAGTGGAGATTCTGAAAGAGGATTCAACTCTGAAGCGACAAAATTTTGAAGAACCTAAGCAAGAAGGCCATGGATTTGGAAAGCACAAGCACAAATCCTACATAGAATGCCCCAATGGAGTAGTGATTCTCTTAGTAGAATTGCAAGTCTCATTGGTACACCAATTTTTGCAGATGAATGCACCTCAAAATAATCTCGAATTTCATTTTCTAAGATGTTGATAGAGGTGAATGCAACTAAGGCACTCCTTGAAGAAGTTGTTGTGATGGAACCAACAGGGGAGGTTTTTCAGCAGAGCGTCACTTATGATTGGAAACCTGTATTTTGTGACCAATGCCTCTAAGTAGGTCACTCATGTAAAGTCCAACCACAACCTGGCCAGCAACATCCAGTAGTTCAGAGACAAAATAGAGGCCCAAAAAACGTGGAACAAGTATGGAGAACTAAGAATTAAAGGGACAAACCTATCGAAGGTAATTGGCAGATGCAATAGAAACAAGATCAAGGCACACAAGACAATGATGTGCAAACAAATGTGCATACTCAGCATCTTGCTATCCTTAAAGATGTAAATGCCCAGACAATTAAAGAGGATCAAATGGCAGAAGTTGCAAAGAGTAAAGGAAAGGCTATTGTCACACCTCCTTTTTCACCTACTACACCCCGTGAAGGGTATAATAAAAGGAGTTTTTCCAATTAAAGGACAATCGAAACGGTATTCATTTTATTAAGAGATTCATAGTAGCCACTTGGGAGATTTATGGTGTCCCAAGTCACCGGTTTGAATCCCGAATCGAGGAAAGGGTTTGACTCTGTTTAACAGTTGCGAACCAGAAATCCGGGTAAGGAATTCCGTTAACCCGAGAGAAGGGATTAGGCACTCCCGAGTTCCGTGGTTCTAGCACGGTCGCTCAACTGCTATATTTGGCTAAAGTCTGATTTTAATACATGTTATCCTATTGCAATTTTTAGAATTATTTAACCGCTTTTAATTAGTTTTTATGAAAGTGAACGCCGTTTAAGAGCGTGTTTTTGGATCACGTCACATGAAATGCACCCGGATCCTTGACGCCTCTTATTCAACGTTTTGGGATTTGGATTTGGATCGCATGAAATGCACACCCGTAGTTAAGAAAGTAAAATTATTCAAAGAACGCGCCTAAAGCGATTAACGTGTTATTAACTTTGCGGGAGGCCATGGAAATTCGCTAAATGGCACGTCCCGAATTATAAATATTTTTATATAATCGTTTAATAAGGGCCCCGCAATTTATATGTTTTGTGCGGCGAGGCCCATCTCATTTTATTTAAAGGGGCAAGTCCTAAAGTAACTATGATTTTCTATTTTTTTATTTGTCTCTAACAATAAAAGGAAAAGTCCTAGCCAATTAATATTTAAAAAATTCGGGCTTCATGTTCAAGTCCGGGTTCAAACAAAAGGTCAAGCCTTTTAGTTTGGACCCGCTACCTAACTCGAAAGCCCAAAATTACCAATTGGCTTTATTCATAACACCCCTTAGCTATTAAAAGGGAATTGAACCAAATGGGCGAGCCGGCTAAAAGAACTAACGTTGAGAGTAAGAAAAATGGGAAATTGGGCCTGTCATGAAGCCCAGCAGCTCAGGCCCTTATTGAATTAGCAGAAAACGGGCCTGGCATCAATTTTTGGCCACGTCGAAATACTTCTTCAGGGCCCAAACAATCCAGGCCTTGAAAATGTCAACTAAAGTTAGAATTTAATTTTATTGTACATGAACATGGTATCAAACATCAGGCTTCAAACTCATGTATCAACTAGAATCTAAACATTTGTTAAGCTACAAATCAATAAAAACACTTATAGGAAATGATGATTACACCAGGGTGATTATCAATTAGATGGAATCAAAAAATTGGAACGGATTTAACATGTTGAAGTACACGTTTGTGATTTTAATAGCCATATCACTTGACCTCAAATGCATGATGTACAACATTATTCCAAACGTTCCCTAGACCTGAAGTTGACGAATGCGAATACACATGCTACCTCTGAATCAGTTTCGAGTTCCACAATGATTTTTCAAGGTTTTAAAGTTAAAACAACTCCTAGAATTTAAACTATGCTAGGCTAATATATTTGGAGGAATAGTCACAAATCTAACGACCTACATAGTCCAGTACAGTCCAATTCAATTACAAATATGAAACGAGGCTACAATTACACAAACAACTACATCTGCCAAACTGTTAACACATATGGAACCAAATGAATATAGAGAGGCAAATATCATGCATAATTTTTCATTCCCTTTCCAATTTGAGCTACACTACAACTGGTTCAAGGTATGTACCTGGAATTTGAATCAAATAAGAAGAAGGAAGGAAGTCAGCAGCAGTCAACAATACTCAGCTCAAAGCCAACAGGAAACAGCTCGTAATCAGATTTAGGTCCAACACGCAATGTCAAAGAGCCCGGGAGAATGTAACAGAGGTTCAGCATCACAAATGACCCCTAAATAACTCGATTGAAACCAAAAACCCACTCAAAATCAGTCCTAACAGATCTCTGAAACTTCAGCCACCAGAAAGAAACCAAAAAGCTTTGAAATAACTCCTAAACGACTTGAAATTGAACCTAGGACCAAACTAGACTTGCAATTAATCTAAAATCTCAATGTAACAGTAGATTTTTTGGATTTTCTGTTGTTTTTTTTTTTGGTTTTTTGGAGGAAAATAAGATCTAAGAGAAGTTTCTGAATTTGAAAGTCAAAATTTGAGCTGATCAATGCTTGTGAGAGTGGGGGGGGGGGGGAATTTTCAGAGCCTCTAAACTTTTAGAGATTTTTCAGATTTTCAGATCTTTTGGAATTTTTTCTGATCTCCAAAACTTGGAAAAGAAGGAAGGTAGGCTGCCTTTTATAGGCAAACTTCAGGGGGAAGCTTCTAGATCTCACTCACACTTTTTCCCCCTCTTTTATTTCAGATTTTATTCAATAATCCCTAATGTTCTGACTTGCTGCTCAAGTTATGGCCACTAAACTATCGAAATGTACACTAAGGCCCTCTTCTAGAAGAGTCTAGGGTATTCTATTTTAACCTACAACATTTTGTGTCACTCTAAGTACCTAAATTGCCCTTGAACTCATGCTGAAATTACTATCCTTAATACAGCTATATCCAAACAATTATTTAACTAGGGTTACTAAACTAAGCCTAAGGGTTATTTGCAACTAGACACCAAACTATGGAATTGTGAAAGATAATTACCAATTAAACTGTCTTAAACTAATTAACCCTAGCTAGCACAATCATAAAGGATTGGAATTCAAACAGGACTTCAAACAGGATCGATTAATGAATCAAAGACAGATAGAAACAATTTCGAAACAAAAATTAAACTAGAATCTAAAATACCGACGCAAGATTAAACAAGAATGAACAGAATTATACTACAAAACGATTATTAGAACATATACGGAATCCAAAACTAAGAATCAAAACAGAAATAAACGAAAAATCTTACTGAGTTAATATTTATATGCATTCAAACAACAACTAACTAATTAACAACAACTACCAAAGCAAGATCAAATCACAGGAAGCAAAAGGAAGAGAGCAGAAGAAGAAAGAAATACAACAAGAGAAGAACAGGGGAAAACTCACTATTAGACTCAAACCCTAGATGTGAAATTGAAGGACTTCGGTTAGGATCCTTGTGCAGTAAACATGAGAATGGAGCTTAGAGCGGCCTGGGGGTTGTGGAGTGTAAATTTGGTATGATTTGGGGCGGCGCCGCCGTGGGCGGCGGAGGCAGCGGCAATAGACTCGAATATTCGAGAAGATTGGGTGTGATTCGAGCCATGGAAGTTTGGGGTTTGGAAAGAGGAGGTCATGGGGAATCCGTGGTGTAAATTTTAGGTTCATCGGACGATCGCCGCCGGCGGAGGCGATTTCTGGCCGACGGCGTGTGGTGGTAGGCGGTGGTGAGATGAAGGGTTCTCTGATGTTGATGAGAGAAGCGAGGGGTAGGGGGTCTGAGGGGGGTGG